ATGGCAATTATAAACATTTTAAGTGTTATTAAATTAATAATAATTATTTGCTTAATATTAAACTGTCGGACGCTTGACATCAACGTAACAAATGGTGAATTTGTCAAAACAAATAGTAAGTAAATCTCAATCTTACAAATGAATTAATAATTAATTATTACAATAAATATTTGTTACTTAGAAAGTGTTGGACTTAAAGAAATTGACCATGCACCTACCACTTCTAATAATGCCTCACAAAGCAACCACACATCCCCTTCTAGTAACCATCATAATTTTATTCATTTAATTAATAGATTCTAATATAAATCATATGGGTTAAAATATGGGTCTATATAACTTATATAGTAAATGTCATAACATTATATAGAGATAATCTTATAGTTAAGACCAACGATATTTGAATGGGAATTAAATGTCTCTTTTTGTGATATGTTTACAGAGCTTATGACACTTCTCATGAGGCGGTGTCACCGGTTTTGCACAACTTATCGTTACTAAAACACTGTATTGAAGCAGTTTTAGGCAAACAGTGGTGACTGTAGTGTTAATCTATAGCAGATACAACAAGATCGTGTTCAAATAGATGTAGTCAAATTTTAATAATTAATATAAAACAATAAAATAAGTTAATGCACTTGATATTTAATATGAGAATAAATTTTAGACAAATTTAAGATAGATTCTCAATGAAAATGATCATGCAAATAATTGTCAAACTTAAATGTTGTGAATTGATTATATTTATTAACAAATAAAATTTTATATATTTTATATAAAAATTACAATCCAAACAAATCTAACATTTATTAATAAAACAATCAGTAGTTTTAAAGAGAATAATGTAATTGAAATATCATAATATGATAAAACAATTGGTTGCATGAGTTGTAACAGAATNTATATAAAAATTACAATCCAAACAAATCTAACATTTATTAATAAAACAATCAGTAGTTTTAAAGAGAATAATGTAATTGAAATATCATAATATGATAAAACAATTGGTTGCATGAGTTGTAACAGAATTGAGTGCAAATTTATAGGAAATAGTAATAGAAAAGCAATTTTCGTGAATTCGCACAAAAAGTAGTCATAAATGTAATTGTGTTTTCAGTACTCAATACTTTGTTTAGTAGCAAAACCTGTGATAAAATTGCAAACAGTTTTCTAATAAAAATACACAAGAATTGAATATAAAGATAGCAATGGGTCAGCACTTTCTGCCACAACTGCTGACCATTCATATAATGTGTTGAAACTTATCAAAAGTTATTATACTTAAGCACTTATCAGAAGGTTATACTAAATATCACACAAAACATATTAATATTTAACCCAACAATTGTTGTCTCAAAACATAATTTAGCCGATATTTTGATTCGGAAAATGCATTCATAAAAATTAATATTTTATTTGCAACAAAACTGTTGTGAAATATAGCGCAATAAATGTTGACAATTAGATTATAATTAAACATTAACCACAAATACACTGTATTATATTCACTGCAATCAAACTAATGTAATGTAAAATATTTATCTTCAGATAATGTACTTCAGAGCCAAACGATAGGACAGAATGTGAGCGAAACACGCGATTCCGGTTCTGTTGGACATCACGTCAACAGTAGTGCTACTGATAGTCAAAACAATTGCACTTTCGGTTCAAATACTACTTCACAGCCGATGGCCGTCATTACCGAATCGGGTCTCAACTCCACTAACACTAGTGTTTCTAATAATAACACAATTATAAGTGTTTCTAATAATAATACTAATAATATTAACGGAACCGAAAAGTTAGCCGAAATGATAAACATTGAGAAATCAATCAAACAATTTGTTAATATTAGTAATGGATTTGGTATTAAATTCTATCAGTTTATGAGCGAAGTCTATCCTAACTTTCTGTTCTCTCCATTGAGTATAACTGTTATGTTGGGTCTGTTATTGAGGGCATCCTCTGGTCATTCATATAATGAATTATACAATGCGTTGGAATTGAATAAAAGTATCGCTAATGTAATACTGCAATCAAACTAATGTAATGTAAAATATTTATCTTCAGATAATGTACTTCAGAGCCAAACGATAGGACAGAATGTGAGCGAAACACGCGATTCCGGTTCTGTTGGACATCACGTCAACAGTAGTTCTACTGATAGTCAAAACAATTGCACTTTGGGTTCAAATACTACTTCACAGCCAATGGCCGTCATTACCGAATCGGGTCTCAACTCCACTAACACTAGTGTTTCTAATAATAACACAATTATAAGTGTTTCTAATAATAATACTAATAATATTAACGGAACCGAAAAATTAGCCGAAATGATAAACATTGAGAAATCAATCAAACAATTTGTTAATATTAGTAATGGATTTGGTATTAAATTCTATCAGTTTATGAGCGAAGTCTACCCTAACTTTCTGTTCTCTCCATTGAGTATAACTGTTATGTTGGGTCTGTTATTGAGGGCATCCTCTGGTCATTCATATAATGAATTATACAATGCGTTGGAATTGAATAAAAGTATCGCTAATGTAAACGATTTCGAGAAAAGTGTGGAAAATACGCTAAATTACTTCAAACCATCATTGAATTCAATGGCAAACACAGAGCTAGAGATAAGTAACGGAATTTGTGTGAGAGATGGCACTAAAATCATCACAAACTTTCTCAACGATTCCGACAGATATTTCTCAGCGAAAGTCAAAGCAATTAATTTTAAGTTAGGTTTCGATAAAAGCGACCAAAAGATCTCTAAATGGATTGAAAACAATACAAAGTCACGTCTTATGTCCGACAAAATAAGATTAGAGCCGTTGAAAGAGGACACGAATTTGCTTTTGTTGAACACACTATATCTGACTGCCGTTGACTTTCACAATAGATTGCTTATTAAAAGGGATTTCTATGCCTTCGGATCACGTATTATAAAAACACAGTTCAATCAAAGGGCAGAAATAGTTAACATCACAAACAGCCCACTCTTCAAGAGTTCTTTCCTCGAAATACCTTTCGATGCGAACAATAATAACGGGAAGAGGTTTTCGTTGATAATAGTATTGCCAAATCATAATCACAGCTTAGAATCGGTGGAGAAGATTCTGTTTGCCAATCAACACCTGTTCACCGCTCAGTTGGCAAACATGAGCTCACATTTGGTGAATGTAATGATTCCCCAGAATTTCATTACACCCGAGTGTTGGAGACTCGACCGACTGTTGCCACACATTGGCATCAAAAGCATATTCCAGTCGGAGACCAGTCTTATGACCAAAATCAGTGCCGTTGAGAGTCTGCATATGAGCCGAATATATCACGAATCGTACTTACGATTCAAACAACCCCTCAATAATAATCACATAATTCACGGCTCGACTAACACTGAAGCCACAGGAAGTCAGAAACAAGCGACTATTGTATCGGATTTCATCGCAAACCGACCTTTCCTTTACATCATAATTGAAAGAAATAGTTCAGCCCTTTTGCTAATGGGAAGAGTGGCTATCATTTAAAAGCTTTTTACGAATCAAATCCCTTCCTCCCCTCCCTTTCTGTTATCTCCCTATATATTAGAGGTTTTCTATTAAAAACAATATATTTGTTGCATAAAAACTAATTAATTGTCTAATATATTATTAAGAGAACATTTATTACAAACTATATAAAACTCTATCAAATATTTATCACTTATTTAAAGCCTAGTCTTAGAATCTTTGCTGACATCCAGTGTTTGGCGAGAGTTTTGTTTTATCGATTTTCGCTGCTCTTTCGTCGAGTATTTTAATAATTAAAACCGTTTTTATTGTTGTATATATAAATTGTTATGTTTACAAATATGCTAATTCTATCATAATAAATATGTTACTTTTGCATATTATATTATTTAAAATTATTTTATGTATTTATTATAACATTTAATTAAAACAAATGAATAAAAAATTCCTTTTCTCTAGTAGTGAATGTGGAAAAAATCGTTATATAAAACATTTTTAACGATATAATTGCAGATAAAAATCATAATTGAAGCAAAACTCCTGACAATTTAAGAATTAGCACAAAAAAGTAAATGAAATGGGAAGGCATGGGAAGGGATGTTGTAATTTAAAGTGATAGTTTTTGTTAGATAATAATAGAGTAAGGCTATAGTGTAGGGATTCTGTGTGTATGTTGTGATTTACTGAAGGCTATATTACATTTTGTAGAGTGTATATCAATATATGCCTATTCTTTGTTTAATCACACGAGTAAACTCTAAAAACATAAAAAGTTAATAATTTTTTATTTTCAATTTCTACTTTATTTTCTTTGATATATAAATCTTAGCTTTGATTTGGTTTTTTGAAAACATAATATTTCAGAATAAATAATGAACTCCACATTTTATGCTTTAAAACATTGTGTATAATCTTTTTGGAACCAAAAATACTCTATTTTTATATTGAAATAAATATATTTACAGAAAAAATTTGTATAACAATACAAAACAAGTTCTGTTTTTTGTAATGCATATAATGTTGTATTTTTATCGTTCAATTCAATGATAAATATAATCAAATGTAAGAAATATGTTGTATTTGTAATCAATCTTAAAAATGGATTTTTGTGGCATTGTATGACATATGCATTCAGATATTATGTCAATTCTCTCTCTCTCTCTCTCTCTCTTTTCTTCTGTTTTAACACTCTTTCTGCGGATGTTTTGAATGATTTATTAGAAAATGTAAAGTATTATGACATCTGTCACTATTGTTATATTCAACCTAAGCTTCAAATTGTTTCTATTCTCTCTCTCTCCATATAAAAAGTGATGGTTTTATTTTTATGTATATGAATTTCAGCTATGAATTTGCATTTATCTTAAGATTTTGTAAAAATGTATTATCCGACAAAATATCACGACAAAAATCACTCAACAACTAACTTAGTTTGTAATAAAATCAAATAATTAGTTATAGAATATTATAAAGCTATTAATTTGTGATTATATATAAATGTGAAAACATAATGCATTAAATATTCATTATTCAGCACTGAATTAAATATGAGTTGTATTACATATGAATGGTTAAGATTTTATCTCCGGTTTATGGGAATTCTTGCGCACAGAATATATCTTTGATATACGATTTCCACACATATTATTAAATTGATTTAAAGTACAATAAAATTATCCTTTATATCGATTCGCATCTGGAAATCAATTTCAATATAAATGCTTTCATTTGAATGCAAATACCAAATGAATTCATTGTTGGGTATAAAAAAAAGTAATAACAGATCACATAAATTAAATCAATGAATGAAACAAATATTTACTGTCATTATGTATACAATTGCCGAAAAATCTTATTTATATTGCAAATAAAGAGATACAGAATTTTCAAAGCGAAAGTGATTTTCTCCATTATGTTTCGTATAATAAATTCTTATATATATTCTTCTTTTGAGTTATAAAATTCCTATTTCTTTATAACAATTGTTTTGAAAAATTTTCTCAAATTTTGATATTTATTGATGCGTTCATAAAATGTTAAAAACACAATCAAATGAATACATAAAATGAACGCAAATCATGTCTAATAATATCAACAATTCGTTGCCATTCATAGCAGAAAATAATTTTCAAATTTTGTATCTTAAATATATGGAGAAAAGAGTAGGAAAAGCAAATCTCGTATTTCAAACAAAAATGATATAAAATTATGATTACAGACGAATAGGTTTTCAGTTTAAATAAAGGCTAAAGCAGTGAATGAATGAAAAGAAAAGGGAAAACTCCATAAAATGCATAAATGCTAACGTAATAGCAGTTTATAGTGTACTTTGCAATACAGAAATAGCGGATGTGTTCACAAATAACAGTGAAAGGAATGGCTTAAAAATTATTTGTACGAAATAGTCGTATCATATATATTGTATATTGTGGTGCATTATATAAAATGTGGTCGATTTAGGTCAGGCATGCGATCCGTTGCTGTGTTTGTTGCACAGGCAGTCACCACACCGTCGCTCCGTTACCTCTGAACTTTACAACACTATTCACTCTATTTCTATGAATTCCTTTTCAATCACATATAAAGTACACATATATTGTCGACACAAATACTAAAAGAATCGTAAATTTAATTCTGGTATCAAATTTGTGGAATAAACACATAGTATATATAGAATTCATATTCTTTATAGATATTGATATAAATCATTATTATTACAAATTGTTAAATTTGCAAAACCAAAAGCTATAATGGAAACAGATATTTATCACACAATAAATCATTTATATATTTTCAATTCAATGATTCAAGTAATACAAATGTAACCTGTTTTTATGATTATGCTATAATTATGGTAAAAATAGTGAATATGAGCAAGATCATAAGATGAGTATCTTATACTAAACTATTATTGATTAAAGAGTGAATAATAGAAACAATTTGAAGCTTAGGTTGAATATAACAATAGTGACAGATGTCATAATACTTTACATTTTCTAATAAATCATTCAAAACATCCGCAGAAAGAGTGTTAAAACAGAAGAAAAGAGAGGAATAAAGCAATAAAAATGACTTAAAAACAAACTGCAGTTAAAATTGAAAACTCTTATGAAAGTAGAGATGGATTTTTTTAGAGGAGGAAAAGCATTTTGATATATAATAATAAAATATAACAATAAATATATTCTTTGAGAACAATAAGAATGAGTGTATTTTTATCATTCGCTACAGAATCGAGAGTTAAGAATATTATTATATGGTCTCCACTGCGGGCGGTGTTTCAAATGGTGGCCTTTATTGCCATTCATTGTCAACATAACAGACAGAGAGATCAATTGTATGCTCAATACAACTACACTATACACTACAGAATACACTACTTTATGTATTAAGCGTTTTAAAAATTGAAATTTCCCTCTAAATCATTGGATCAATCCGTTTACCACTCAATTCTCCACTAAAGACCGCTAACATTAAAACAATTAATTTATAGTAATTTTGTTGTCGAAACTTTTTCCATGAATACAACAAAATATTTAATCAACGCAATATTGTGTCAATAATTTGCAAAAACCAAAAATTCATTTAAATTTAATTTCAAAACAAAGAAACAAAACAAATGTTTTTGAATAGATATATGAATATATGATTGAGAGGTAAATGACTGAAAAATCATATCGTATTCAATACATTAATGTACTGTACATTACATCTTCTTTTGACGAGCAGTATATGAAGTGTTATTTAATAAGATTTAAATTTTCCATAAATATACTGTATGTAAATTAAAGTAAAATGCATATAAAATAAGTGTGTAATCTCTATACATAACAAAAAAGAGATAGACGTTTCAAATTTGTTAGTCAAATCATAAATAATAATAAATATATTTAAATGACGTTATAATGAGCTCACAATTCCTGTCAATTGTTAGCCTTTAGAGACGACTACTGTTTCAAAATTGTTATTTTGGAAAATATATTTTGTTTATGAATATCAATGTTTGAGTTTATAATTATTATTATTTCATATAATATAAGATTGTCTATGATTTTAATTAGCGTTGACATGAGTGGGACACTACTCTTACAGAGAGTTTGCGGTATGTAACAAAAAATAATATCAATTTTCAATTACCGTTAGTTTATTATTATTATCATCTTATTAGAGACGAATTATTGACTGAATTCGCTTATAGTTTGTAATTTATGATAAAATAATGAGCAATAAGTTATTGAATTAATTTTTTGGGTGCGTTTTTATGCCATGAATTTATATTCATGAAAAAATATACATTAATTCACTAATTCATTCATATTATGTGTTATGAAATATCTTTTTGGTGCTTAATTCATGAAAAAGACGTTAAATTTTATTATATTATTAAAATAATGCTTTATTTCATATTTGTATTTATAATATACAGTATACATTTGAAATCCAATATAATATACACCCAATAGTATCCCAATATTTTGAAATCATAAGTCACATATATAGATATAACTTATACAATGTTAAAGTCCATTATAATCTCCCAATCGTTATAATCCCTCAATACATGTATAATATTATATAACATTCTCACATTGAAAGCCATACAAAATATGGTTCAATAGTGTCCCCACTTTTCAACGAATCATTACATGAAAAAGTAAAAATGTATAAAAATCATTGCAAACGTAATAATTAAACAAAATGGGGATAGCCGAACGATCCTATAAACCACATTATTCATATCTGAATTGTGGTTAAAAATTATATATAAATCGCATACAATTATCAATTGATTAGTTAAAAATAGTTATTAAAATATCACAAATAGTATTTATAACGAATAAAATATTTTTAACATTAATAAAATTCTTGTAATAAAAAAATTCACGCAATAATGCATTTCCTATTTTAGTGTCTATTCTGTGTGTGAATAGCAGTGGATGTGAATAAAGAGTAATATTCAGTAATATTCACATATATTTATGTTGATGTTATGTCTCACGAGAAATCTATTGATTTAC